GATGATTCCTATCCTAATCCTGGGCTGAGGCAGTGTCTTACTGTAGTTTTGAGTTGCATTTCCCTGATAGTTAACAATGGTGAGCATTTTTTCACATGCTTATTAGCCCTTTATATGTCCTTTTTGAGAAATATCCTTTCATATCATTTGCCTGTTTTTAAAATCAGATTATTTGTTTTTTTCCTGGGGAGTGAGGGCTCGTCTATTCTGGATATTAATTCCTTGTTGGGAAAATAGTTTACAAAGATTTTCTCCCATTGTGCAGGTTGTCTCTTCACTCTGTCCGTTGTTTCTGTTGCTGGGCTGAAGCGTTTTAGTTTGGTACAATCCCACCTATCTGTTCTCTGCCTTTGCAATAGCTGATTTTCACCTCTAAGGGCTCTAATCGTGCCTCCTATGGGAGAACCCATTTCTGAGGCAGGAGCCTTCACACCTTGCATGAGGTTTCCAGAGTCGTTATGTGGCTTTGCTTTTAACCAGATTGGCACATAGGGGGCCTGATTCATAAACCCTAAAAAGGGATCCTTCCCAACCACTTAAGGCCATGATGTCTTTGGGGAAAGCGTGGGAAATTAACAGAAGTCACTGCCCACAAGAGTAAATAACCCACACTTGGCTGGGCACTTGCGGGGCAGGCTCGGGACACTGGGCTCCAGGCTGTGTTGTGAGAGGCCAGGGCAGCATCCCTGGGCTCACTGCACTCTGTCCCCAGCTCCCTGGCCTGTGGCCACTTGAAGAGCCTCGAGCATCCAGACACAGACACCAGCCGATTCTCTGCAGGCTGCCAGGGCTTAGGTTCATTCATTTCTGGGGAGCAGCCTAACCAGCCACCCCAAACCCCTCCCCAGGCCTGAGCCAGGGGACAAACCACCACCTCTCCCAAGCCAGCTCCCTCCACCCCAGCCCTTGAGTACAGATGAGAATTTTTTTTTTTTAGGTAAAATTCACATAACAACACTAGCCATTTAAAAGTGAACACTTTCCTCAAAGTGAGTTTGTCCGCAGTGCTGTAAAACACTCACTTCTCCCATGACGCGGTCACTTCCTGTTCCTCCCTCCCCAATCCTGGGCACACACCAGTCTGCTTCCTTTCTCTGTGGAATTGCCTGAATATTCCCCGTGGATGGACTCAAGCAATATGTGGGGCTTTCTGTGTCCAGCTTATGGCATGTAGCATAATGTTCTTGAGGTTCTCTCACACTCGAGCACATTTCAGTACTTCATATTTTTTTATGGTTGAATAATAGCCCATTTTTAGCTCTGGTGAATAATGTGGCTATGAATGTTTGTGGACAGTTATTTGTTTGGGTGCCTGTTTTTTAACCCTTCAGTTTAAGTGAGGTGTTACCATTAGCAAAACCTGTTGTCTTCCCACTGTAACTTTTCTCTTCCTACTCAAGAGAACCATGCATCTTAAGTTGGTCTTATCACCCCTAAAGAAAAATTTTCAGGGCCAAATTCATCAGCATGAATCAGTTCAGCTGAGTAAGTCTACTGGCTCTAGCCAAGCCCTTTATTATTCCAGTGGGCATTGTATTAGTCAGCTTTCCAGTTACTATAACAAAACGCCTGAGATGCCAGACTTGAAAAAGAAGAAAGGTTACTTTTGGATCACAGCTTTGGAGGTTTCAGTTCTCCAAACCACAGCAAGGAAGACAGCAGGTTTCCACTTGGAGGACATCCTGATGTGGAGCTGGTCCACACAGAGACCCGGCCCGGCTGTCTGCAGGTCTGCTCCAGTTCTGGGGTCAGCGAGTGGCACTGCTCAGAGCCCTGGGCAGATGAGTCTGAAATCTGAAACCCTCAGGAAGGTCTGGCCGAAGCCAGTGGGGAAATGGAGAATGAAAGGTGGCGGTGACTGTATGTTAGAACGCTTTTCCACACCCAGGGGGCAGCGGCGATTCTCTGCAGAAAAAGCCTCCTGAGAGACGCAGACCTCCTGGCCTAACTGTGGGAAAGAAGGAAAGCTGGGTAGCACAGTCAAAGGCAGCCTGAAAGACAGGATGCAGCTCTCCTACTTGCGGTGTAAACGTTGAACAACTGTTTTACACTTTCTGGCCCTTGGTTTTCTCAGCTGCAGGATGAGAATGGTTACACCTTCACCTTCTGTATAAGACTGGTTGCTGCGACGTAATGTGACAGCTTCTTTATAAGAGCACAAAATTCATCAGTGCTGGGACAGAACAGAGGCTCCTTATAAAGTCTCTCATTTATGACCAGGCTGCATTAATCAAAGACACCCTTGAACAGAACATGGTTACATGTCTGCAGTTAAAAGTCCAAAGAATGAGCCATGTTGTTGTTGTTGTTTTAACTAACAACATGGTGAGCTGGGTGTGGCATGCACACCTGTAATCCCAGCACTCTGGGAAGCTGAGGCAGGAGGACATGAATTTGATCCCAGACTGGGCAATTTAGCAACTTAGCCAGAGTCTGTCTCAAGTTTTTCAAATAAAAGTTGTTTTTTTAAGGGGCTGGTGATGTAGTTTAGTGTGAAGTCTCTTGGCTCAATCCCCAGGGCCACAAAACAAACAAACAAGCAAAACCACTAAGATGGTGTAACATGGCAGAGTGTCCTGAGCTTGACTTTTTAGTTTAAATCCTACCTCCACCACTCACTGGCTTTGTGAACTTCAGCAAGTTACCTAATGTCTAGGGACTGGAGTGTTCCCCTCTGTAAAGTAAGGACTAGGATGCTCATCAGGGGCTGCTTTAAGGGAAGCACCCAGCACAAGGCAGCAGACAGAAGCTCTCCAGTTATTTGAGTGCTGTCTGCATCATCATCATTTTTCAAAAGCAGGAATCTCTAAGCCCTGTCTCCCAAGTGTGATTTCCCAGGCCCACGCAGGGCCGAGCACTGGTGTTTTCCCAGCTTCCCGAGAAGATTCTTAGCTGCAGCTGGGATGACAGCTACTCCCTCGCAGATCATATTGCACACGGGGTGTTTTTTGTTTTTCATTGTTTAAAACATCTGTGCCCAGGAGGGGAATCAGAATAGCAGGAATTCTGGGCAGAGTCAGACATCCAGTACACCTGCAGCTCTAAGCCCTTGGTAAGAAATGGGCGGCCAAGGAATTGCATTCCATTTTATTCTGGGATGAAACAGTTTCAGAGTCTTAGAAGAAAAGTCCTGAATGGGAAAAGTGGTAAGAAGTTTAGCCTAAGCCTGACACATAAAATATGGGGACTCCCAGTAGGTCGGGGATTTATATCTGGGGGTAATTCCAGGGTTTCATCCTCCCAGGAGATATAAATCCAGCCCTTGTGGGTTTAATGGAGGGGAAGAGAAAGGGTTCTCATAATGACACCTAAAACATCGGGGCCTCTACTAATGCAGGGGATAGAAGAGCCGGGTCTGTAATAGCAGGGGGCGCCGTGGGGGCGGATTTTGGTCCCCATACTGAGGTTTCCAGCATCGAAACCTAGGTCATGGAGAACCTTCATTTTCCCCATAGGTTTCTGGTATTAGTCACCCAATAAAAGTTGGGTTAATTTTATAACCCAAGTAAAATTTAAGCCAAAAAGACTTCAGCATTACTCTAGGATTTATGAAAGTAAACATATGGAGTACTTGTAGGATTGGACAACATTAAAATCTCAATGTCTTCATGTCAGGTATGTGATGTATTTAGTTGTGTATATACTTAAAGGTTATGTTTTTAAGAGCTCTGTGATGCAGACTATTTTGGAGACTAAAACGGAGACACTTCCATCCCCACCTTCCAAATGACTGGTTCAGAGATTAGGGAATAGAAATTGGCAGACAATGGGCAGGTTTTCTAGACCCCAATGCTCACTGAGCCCCAGGTGGGGAAGTCCAGCACTGTGGCCCTGACAACAGCCCGCCTTTCAGGGTAGGTACCAGTAAATGTCTGTCTCTTCCGTGCGTATCCTCTTCGATCATTGTAGAGACTTCAGTAGCCAGCACGTGCCAGCTTTGCAGTCTAAAAAGCTTTCACCTCACTTGCCAGGATTGTTGTGGCTTGCACCTGTAGGGTACAAAGGACAGTCCCATCATATGGGTAAGAAAACTGGCTCATTCTCCAGACTTTTAGGTGCAAAGCAACCCGAAAGGGCAGTGGTATTGGGTGGAGCTGGTGTGTGGACAGCAGACAGGAGAGCAGAACAGAAGCATCGCTGGGGCACCCAGCACGGCCATGGCCACCGGGGGCAGCCTCGGGTGTGGCATGGGGCAGATGTCTGCGCCCTGTCCCAGGCCATCGGATGCTCCGGGGAGGTCATGCCCTCTGTCCTTCCAAGCTGCATCTGTCACCTTGGCTCCTGATCTCCAGCCCTGTCACTCGCCACACTGCCATGAATAGTGTCTCTTTCTAGTGTCCCCTTGTCTTCAAGATAAAATCTGTGTCCCTCTTTTGTTTAATACAATAATTTTCAGGTGGTAAAATGTTAATAAGACTTTTTTGAAAATGCTAGGGGACCATGAGGGTGTGATTTCCATGGGTATTTTCTTGTGATAGCCGTGGATTTAGTGACTCATCCGGAGTCTGGTCTGCAGCTTGCCTTTCTTCAGAGTACAGAGAGCAGGTCTCAATCTGTGACGAGCCACTGTGCATGGTGGCCCCGGTTTCCTTCCCACCCTGTGGATCCTCTTGGAGTGGATCTTGTGGCTGATGCGCCCACGCCCTCGCAGCAAATGAAGCAGAAATAATCTGTGCTTAAAAAACAAAAAACTGCAGCACATATGTCCAGATTTCCAACTCATTTCCTCTTTACCCTTGTAATTACATCATCTTCTAGCCCACCACCAGCTGCGAAAATAAAAGCATTTTCTCCTGTACTTAAGGATGATTTTGTGCTTCAGGATGGTTTTCTGGGGGTGCAGAAAACTAGGCCAATGTGACCAGCAGATGTTTTGAGCCGTATGGGAGCTGAGCAAAAGCCTGGTTCCTCTTTGGGATTCGGTGCCCGACTGCGCCCCCTAGTGCCCCGTGGGGGCGTCGCGCACCCTGAGTTTGCTAACGGCTCTGCTCTGTCTTCAGGGATGAGTTTGAGGAAGACGGGTTCTGCCAGCCATACAGAGGCATTGCTTGCGCGAGGTTCATCGGCAACCGCACGGTCTACATGGAGTCTCTGCACATGCAGGGGGAAATAGAAAATCAGATCACAGGTAGGTGACCTCAGCGGGGCGATGTTTCTTGGAATAACTCATGCTCACCAAAGCTTTATGGACGCGGACGGTTAGGCTGGGCGGGGGGCCGGGAGCAGGACCGTAAAGATGCAAAGACGTGATCTCTACGCTCTGGAATTTACATTAAAGTAATTTACTGGAGGTTGCTCTGAGAGGAAAAGGAAGCTTTGAGAAATCGCACATTCACTCAAACACTCAATAAATAATTTTGAGTGCTTTTAGCATGGCCTGGCCCCGGGAGGCCCTGGTAAATAAGCCAGGTCGCCTCTGCCCTCGCAGGGCTTGCTGTTCAGGAGCCACACACTGAATTCTTTTTGTTTTTTTTTTTTGGTACTGGAGATCGAACTCGGGTCCTTGAGCTTGCGCAGCAGGCAGCAAAACCACTGAGCTAAATCCTCAGCCCCTTTTCACACACTGAATTCTAATCCCCAGCAGAGCCACAGCGACCCCCGAGAAAGTGCTTGCTGGGCATGGAAATCACTTCCCCCTCTGGGAGATGCGCGGCCTGCTCGACCTTTCAGCGCTGTACCCTTTGTTTTTCCTAATCAAAATGTAATTTTCTCTTGGTAGATGCCTAACAGCGAGGCCCTCTGTGGCACACACGAGTGTGGTAGTGCAGGCCACGTGGGCGTGGGGTGACAGCAGTCACGTGGCCCTTACTGAGCGTGGTCCTGGGGCCCTGGGCACGTGCCCTGTGCAGCCCTGTAGAATGTCATAGATCTGGAGAAGTTCCAGTAAGGTTGCCAGGTGCAGCATGTGCGAGTAGAGAGTACCCACTTCGGTCTGCATTTCAGATAACCACCGTATCTCTCGGCCCATGCTTGTCTCACAGTCATCTGTTGTCTTGTAGCATAGCTGGTGACTCGAGAATTTAATAGAGGTGAGGACAAACCAAGGCAGGGACACAGAGCAGCAAAAGCACAGCAGTTGGGGCCCCAGCAGGGTCGTAGAGCCGACAGGGCCTAGGGAGCTGTTTCCCTGAGAAGCAACTTGCAGAATGTTGGGATAAACATTGGCTAAGCCACCAGGCTTTCAAAAGGAAGAGGAAGGCTCTGAACTGTCAAAGTGCAGACACAGTCTAGTAGGGAGGAGTTGTTGACAGCACTTTTCAACCTAATCGAAGAACATTTTAACATTCATTCAGCTAAGTAAATAGAGGTCCTGATGTAAGTGTTGGTAACCATTTACAATAATCCTGTCACGGGACATCCGCTTACTAGGAAATGTTGCTACTTATGTATTATTTAATCTGTTTCACCAGCATTTCCCAAGCTGGTTTGGGTACAATCCTTCATGTGGTGTAAGTATTATATACCTAATATTCTGTAGGATTGCTGCCCCAGGCAGCATGCTGGGAAATGTTGGACCCACAAGCTCAGGGCTGCCTTGGGAGGCCAGTGCTGTTTGTACGGACACTGAACTGGGCCGTGTGAGAAGCTCTAAGTGGGCTGCCTCATTTTCAGAAGACGGAGGAGCCAGTGTTCAGCCCCAGAGTAGCACGGCAGGTTCCCAGGGTCCTGCGGCCCGCTGCCCCCGGCCAGGCTGCGCCAACACAGCACTTCTGCCCTGAGCTGCAGCACAGCCTCCTGGGCCTCACAAAACTAATAAAAGGGCTGGATGAAACACAGAGTTCCAGCGCTTTGTAGTAAAACATGAAAAATAGATTGTGCTTTAACCTAATTAATTATTTTATTAGGAAACGGTACATATGTAATATTATCCTGTTTTTTTTAACTTTGTAGTCAAAATGATTTTTTTGAGCCAGTGAAAGCTAGCTGCTTAGACATCTGAAACAAATCTCCTCCCTGGGCCCTTATGCCTGGGGCGGCAGATTCCTCCCAGTTTGAAGATAGCCGATCCACAGATCCACAGCTGGGAAAGTAGAATCGCAACCAGCTAATCCCTGTGCTTATCTTCCAGCGGCTTTCACCATGATTGGCACCTCCAGCCACTTATCTGACAAGTGTTCCCAGTTCGCCATCCCCTCCCTGTGCCACTACGCCTTCCCCTACTGTGATGAAACCTCAGCTGTCCCGAAGCCCCGAGACTTGTGCCGAGACGAATGTGAAATCCTGGAGAACGTGCTGTGTCAGACGGAGTACATATTCGCGAGATCTAACCCCATGATTCTCATGAGGCTGAAGCTGCCCAACTGTGAAGACCTCCCGCAGCCAGAGAGCCCGGAGGCCGCACACTGCATCCGCATCGGCATTCCCATGGCGGATCCTATCAACAAAAGTACGTGATGGCCCTGACCTTCCAGTGGCCTCCAGGGTTGGTGAGCCCATGGCAAAGTGCCAAGGGGCATCGCTCGATGTCGTCATCACACTGGGCGCATGGGTCGTCTATGACCCCCTTCCGGTGGGCTGTGTGCCACACTCCGTTCTTGGTGTCCAGATACATTAAGAAGCTTCATGAAGACAATTTGAAGTGTAGGGTTGGGTTTCTCAACAACTTAGATAGAATTCCCATATGACCCAGCAGTTCTGCCCTAGGTATATAGTCAAAAGAATTGAAAACAGGCACTAGAATAAAACATCATCAAAGAGTGTTCAGAATGGCACTATTAACAATTGCCGAAAGGTTAAAACAACTCAGATGCCCAGCAGTGCAGGAACAGGTAAACAAAGCATGGTAGGGTCAGGGATTTAGCTCAGTCGTTCCACTGCCTGTCTTGCAAGCACAGATCCCTGGTACCAAAAACAAAAAATGTGGTATATCCATACCATGGAATATTATTTGCCCATGAAAATGAATGGAATACAGATACATGCTGCCACCTGGGGAGTCCTGAAGGCTTTATACTAAGTGGAAGAAGCAGCCAGCACTATAAGATTCCAAGTCTGTGAAATCTTCGAAAAGACAAACCCACTGAGACAGAGCAGGGTTGGGGCTGGGCTGATGGGAGTGACTACTTAATATAGATACTGGGTTTCCTCTTGGGCCAAGCGAAGACTGTAAGACCTGATAGTGGTGCAGTTGTACGGTGTTTTGAAGGCCCTGAATACAGTTTAGGGATTGTGTATTGCACCGAAATTTAAAATAAATATATACGAAGGCTTTCTTCCACCCTCTGCCTGCTCCACCACCACACGAGGGAGCTCTCCTCTTCGTGGCTTCCCTTTCACTGAGAACTAAGCTCACTGGTAACTGTCTGCATGTCTCTGTCAGTTCCTACGATTGTACTCGCTCCCTGCCCCACCTGAGCTGCTCAGAGCTGTTTCTCCCAGGGCGCGTGTGCAGCACCATCACAGCTACCATTGTTATAACACCACTGCCCCCGACCCAGTTCCTCCAGGTCAGGGATTCCACAGAGCTTTGAGCCGAGTGCCCAGTCACCGAGTGCCCAGTGAGGCTGTGTCTCACTTCGGGCACCATCCGCAGACACATCCTGACTCCTGCTGGGAGCCCAAAACGCACTGCCCCGAGAAACACTTTCTGGGACTCGCCAGCTGGATTCTTGATCTTCCCACCCATCAGAGCAGAAGGCAGAGTTTGGCCTGCAGCCTCCTTGGACCATTCCCGAGGAGGCTGCTGCCCCGTTCCCATCCCTCCCCCGTCACTGTCGGAAATACTTGGCGAGGGCTGCCCCCAAAGCGGGAGCCTGACCTCTTGCCCTGCAGTCATAGCCCAGACCCTGGCCCAGCCCAGCAGGCAGGGAGACGCCGCGGCCCCTGAGGCTAATCACACACCCGCCTCTCTGTGTTTTCAGATCACAAGTGCTACAACAGCACGGGGGTGGACTACCGCGGCACGGTCAGCGTGACCAGGTCAGGGCGCCAGTGCCAGCCCTGGAATTCCCAGTACCCCCACACGCACACCTTCACCGCCCTCCGTTTCCCGGAGCTCAGCGGAGGCCACTCCTACTGCCGCAACCCCGGGAACCAGAAGGAAGCCCCCTGGTGCTTCACCTTGGACGAGAACGTCAAGTCTGACCTGTGCGACATCCCAGCATGCGGTAAATAGAGCCCTCGCTCACTTTCACGGGGCTGCACCCCTCACCCCTCGCTCAGGAGTCTCGTAAGGGCGAGTCGGCGGCCAGCCCTGGCTTGTCTTACGTGGTTTCCAGCGATGTCTGCAGAAACACACAGGTAGGGTAGCAGGCACACTTCGGGGGTAGCTGCAGCCCACAGCCTTTGGGGCAGTGCAGATAACAGGGACGCAGCTCCCCAGGGCCAGAGGTATCACTGGAGTGGCCCAATGCAAGTGCACCCTCCTAGCAGAGAAGACAGAGTGGAACCAGAAGGAAGGCTGTTCTCGGTGTGTCCTCGGCCACAGCACAGGTGGGAGGGCCAGGGCCAGGGCTGGAGCAGGCTGCAGGAGGAGCAGCATTGGCTGGTGCAGGGCAGTGGTAGGGCACCACCTCGCGGGGCCCTGTGGACCAGGGTGGCATTGCAGCGACAACCTGGTGAGCTGGGGAAGCTGTGTTCCAAGCACAGGTGACGAGGCCTCGGTGCATCCTTAAAGGGCAAAATGCACTGGTCACTCCACGCTGGTCAACACCAGTGTCCTTCAGGTAACTTCCACTTCCGCTTCCGGGCAAGTGCCCATCAGAACTGGGGAAGTCATAGGCTGGGAGAAATGCTGATCGCCTGGCCCAAGAGCTCCAGTTCCATGGCCGTGGGTTTCAGGCTATTTTGTGGCGTCTGTCTTCATGTTAGCAGCCTTCCTGAAGCATTCACACCACACACGGCTCTGGGACAGGAGCTTGTGGGCCCCCAAAGGTCCTTCAGACCAGAGGAAGTGAAGTCACGCACACCACACACCCACCGAGCCACACAGGGCCGGGGCTTGGCATACTCACGTCCACGAAACACTCACGACCACGCCGAGTGAGGTGTTAGTAAAGGGGTCCACAGAGGCCAGGAGGGCCAAAGACTCCTCAGGTCCCGCGACCATCACGGGTGGGGTTGGGCCCTGAGTCCTCATCTGTCTCTAGACAGCTACAGCCAGAGTCAGTCATGTTCTGTTACAGTCATTCTGCTCCCTCTCATTTAAAGATTTTTAAACAAATACAACAATGACAATGAGCTCAACCTCTGAGTTTCACCGCGCTGGTTCCCGTTATATGATACATGACATCGAGAAAAATTGCCCTGCTGAGGAAGGAATCTGCCACAGTGTTACTCAGTACAGCCCTATAGTGTTTATACCTCAGTACAGTGAAGTTGGAAACTCTCCGATATTTCTGAATATTAGTCTGCAGAAGACACAGTTCAGTTTCCGAGGACTGGTTAATTCCAGTTATATGAGCAATAAATTCAGGTGAAATTTAAATCTAGAGAGGACAAGGCTGTTTTCACCACTTAGAATTTTTTTTATAAAAGAACATTTTCATTTCATTTTGAAAAAAACAGTTCTTGAATTCTTCAAGCCAAGCCAAAAAATGTGTCCATTAAAGAAGGAGAGAATCCTTGATGTGTGATCGATAACAATGCTGTGGAGAGGCCAGTAACTCCCTGGTAAGAAAGTTCTAGAAGACAGCACATCAGTGTCGGCTGCCTCCTGTGGAGGGCGTCTTCACCCGCCCCTCAGCAGCCCACCTCTAAGGAAGTCACATAGTGGCATCCTACTTCTGTGACTTCCACAGCGCAGCTGATTCTCGTTTTTTCATTTCATTTCTCACAAAAAGCATAAAAGATGGTGTAAGAATTTCCAGTGCTGTTTTACCGTGTGAGGAAACCAAAGCCCAGGATCGAGTTAACGAACAGAAGCCAGGTCTCCTGGCTGTGGGACCACGGCTCTTCATCCTCCACAGGGTCTGCAGACAAGGGTGGGGCTGGCCATGGGTTGTGCCTGGGAGTAACCCTGGCCAGCAGTCCTCAGCTCTAAGGGAAGGCAGGCCAGGGCGGAGAAACCCTTTCTTCACCACACAGTTGTAGACTAGAATAACAATAGCATTAAACAGAAACTGCCATTTATTGGGTGCTGATGGTGAGCTAAAAACTATGCTGAAAGGTCACAAATTATCACGTGAATGGGGAGCTCTGGGTCCCTCTGAGCAGGTTTCTGTGATGCCCACAAAAGGAAACTGAGGCTTAGAGGGGGTAGGTAGCTTAGGGTTAATAAGAAGTGGCCGGGGGGCCGGGGATTTAGCTCAGTGGTTTCGCTGCCTGCTGCGCAAGCGCAAGGACCCGAGTTCGATCTCTGGTACCAAAAAAAAAAAAGAAGAAAAGAAGAAATGGCCAGGACTCAAACCTGGGGGCGAGGTTTAAACTGTGATTTGTGTCAGATATGACTATGGGAAGGGGGGGGTGGAGAGAAAGAAAACGGGGGAAGGAAGGAAGAGAGAGAGAGGGAGGGGCAGACAGGCGGGTTTTTCTTCTCAAAGTGAGTTGTAAGCTGGTAGGGAAACTGAAATGTGTCCTTTTCCTCCTCCGTTCTCAGTGGGATGGGGTGGCATGGCAACAGGCCTGCGGGTCTTGAAGGTCTTACTTGTAGTTCCGAGGACGCAGGCAGGAATGGAGCCCGAGTCCACCTCCCCTGCATTCTGCAGCTGGCTCCATTTCAGAGTCCTGCCTGAACCGCTTCTCCCTCCGTCCTGTCCCTTCTAGCCACTGCCACCACTCTAAGCCAAGTTCCTCAGGCTGGGTGGAAGCTCAGTCAGAAAAGAACATTTTGCTGCTGTTCTTTCTGGCCAACATCCGGGACCCCTCTGGGCCTCTCCATTTCCCTGGAGCCCCCAGCATTGCTTCTGGGCCCGGCTCTGCAGGCAGAGCTGTGGGAAGCATTGGTTTCCCTGCGAGCTCCTTTGGCAGCCATCTGGCCATTTTACTTTGGCTGTGTATGACAAATGGCATCTTTCTCCACCACCCTCTAATTGAGATGCCCTCTTTGTTCCTTGATCTGCACCGGAAGCCAGAGTCTGCTGGCACAAGTATTTCCGTGGTCCCACCGTGGCCCTTTATTTTACTCAATCAAATCTTGGGGCCACGGTGCTAGCTTTGTCTCTTTCTCTTCCAAAGCAAGGTTCCTCCTCTACCAAACAGCCCAAACTCTGAGCAGTAGTGTTATCTTTACTCCTAAAGCAGCTTCACACACAAGAACCCACTGATAACAAAGCAGTGACCCATGTGTCTCCATTGGACGTTTGCATTCCTGGCCTATTACTTGTGTATTTCCTTTGAAGAGCTGGCTTGCAGCAATTTCCCGAAGGGCGCATTGCCCAATTCTGTGTCTGAGTAGCTTTGACTTGTGCCGTAACTGTACAGACAACACCCAGGCTCTGCTTTGTCACAAACCATTTTCTGCTCTTGGTGCTTTAGGGTTCGGGCCTGACAGATGTTTTCCAGATTCCGAATGCCATGGTTTTGAAGCTCGCCATCAGCAGCCTTCTCCCAGCCCTCACGGAAGACCTGTTGTAAAGCAGTTTGTCTTTCAGCCATTGCTTCAGACCAAAATTGAACATTACAGGGAATTGGATGCGGAGAGGGGTAAAGAAGGAAGAAACAGAGCAGTGCTTTTTAGGGTCGGGAGCTCTCTGGAAGAGTTATTTTTATGCTACAGAGGTTTCTAAGATGTATTTTAGCTTCCAGTCTTTATGCATTTTCAACAAAGTAAAGAACAATAATGAACCAAAACTTATAGCTAAGTCAAGAACCATAAACCTTTTTGACTGTAGATGTTAAATGTTTTGTTTTGTGGGGTATTTTTTTAATTGTCCTCAGGATATATCAGCCATTTACCCAGTGTGTAAGTTGTTCTCTAATAACTTTCAAAAGCTTCTGACTGGGCCACCACCGTGTCATAGGAAGTGCCGATTGCCATCCCTTGGGCGACAGAATGCTGACCTTACCCCAAAATGATTTTTGCTGTTGGCTTTGTATCTGTCAAGGTCCTGCATGAAACAAATGGTATCAGCAGAGAAGCCACCTAAAGGGTTGCACTGGGGAACCCATCAGTGCAGGGTTCGGTGGGTAAAACAGAACCTGGGAGGCACTGTAGAAGCCCCAGCCCTGGCACGACTGGGACTGGGCCTTCGCTCAGAACTCGGCCTTTTAAGATGGAAACCAAACTCTCACATGAAGCCTGATTTTTTTTTTTAATACTGACCACTAACTCAAATTTTTGAAATCCCCAATAAGGAACAAATTTACGGACCAGATCCAGTTTTAGCTCTGGTGTAATTTCTCATACAATTTGGAGACATCTGTCACATCCTTGGATTCTCTTTTTGTTCTAAAAGGCACACCCCAGCTCCTACGTTGCCTTTCCTCATTTCCTTCCTCTGGAGAATTTTTGCTTTTTCAAAATCCTTTAAAATACAAGACGCCTCTTTACATCTTTCAGTGTTTTTTTGTTTGGTTGGTTGGTTGTTTTTGTTGCTGTCGTTTGTTTTTTTCCTTTAACCATAACAGATAGAAGAGGAGAAGAGGACCAGGGCAATGTTGATCTAGCTTTGGTGGCGAAGGCTTTGCATCACTATCAGTGCCATGGGTGACATTTGGGGACCAATCTCATCTTGCTGGTGCTGACTCCCCTTCAGGTCTCCTCAAAAACTCACTAGTATTCTTCCGGGGGGGGGGGGGGCAGGGATTACAGGAAGAATTATTTAGTAGATTTTGTCGTTGTTGTTGGATTTTTTTGGTACCAGGGATAGAACTCAGGTCCTTGCGCTTGTGCAGCAAGCGGCGAAACCACTGAGCTAAATCCCCGGCCCTTTAGTAGATTTTTCTAATCACAGACTTTATAAGCAAGGTCTTTAACCTCATCTCAAGTTATAGTATCTATGTGTAAAATTTCAATTGGCGGGGCCTGGGATTTAGGTCAGTGGTTTTGCTGCCTGCTGCGCAAGCGCAAGGACCCAAGTTTGATCCCTGGTACCTGAAAAAAAATTTTCAATTGGTGACTTGGGTTTATTATTTTAGATTATTGTGTACAGTCCTCTAAAATTTCGTTTCTGTAAATAATCTTTTCTAGATTCAGGCCTCTTTTAATTTGATAAATGTATTCTCTTTA